GAACGGCCCACTTTACAACCAGAACGGACCACTTTACAACCAGAACGGGCCACTTTACAACCAGAACGGACCACTTTACAACCAGCTCAGAGTGGCCATGCGTGTTTGGGCGTTCCGCAAAGTGCTCCAGAGCAAGTGGGCGCTCTGAAAAATGCCCAGAGCAATTGGGCGCTCTGAAAAATGCTCCAGAGCAAGTGGGCGCTCTCAAAAGTGCTCCAGGGCGCGCGGACGCTCTGAAAAATGATCCAGAGCACGTGGGCGCTCCGGAGCCCGAGCGCCTGAACTCTCTGCGCAGGCCCCAGCGATGCCTCTGGGCCCGAGCGCCTGAACGCCCTGCGCAGGCCCCAGCGATGCCTCTGAGCCCGAGGACCTGGACGCTCTGCGCAGGCCCCAGCGATGCCTCTGAGCCCGAGGACCCGGACGCTCTGCGCAGGCCCCAGCGACGCCTCTGAGCCCGAGCGCCTGGACGCTCTGAGCAGGCCCCAGCGATGCCTCTGAGCCCGAGCGCCTGGACGCTCTGGCGCTCTGAGCCCAGCAGACTAAGACAGGGCTTGCTAGCAGGGGCCAAGCGGCCTCACCAAGGGCCCCGTGCTCGCACGGGAATAAGGCGACAGCATACGTAGGAAGGCTCAGGGCGACGCGCTGCCCATTTTAGGGATCACTCACAGGAAGCGAGCCCAGTGGCCTCCACAAGGGCCCAGCGCTCCAGGGAACTAGGCCATCGGCACCGCGGGTCTCTTGGGCCACGTTGGCCCCTGAAGCCCCACGGTGTTCTGCAAGGGGCTAAGTGCGCCCGCTCCAGTTGGCCCCCTGCTGCTCCTCGTCTTGGAAGATCGAGGTTCACGGTCCCGAATACATGCAACTATTTCGAAGATCGTTTCTTCCAGCGTCAGCCAGGGTGCCAGCGCAGCAACGCAGGTATCGCGCTCGGGCAGCAGCCTCAGCCACCGTGCCAGCGCAGCAGCTTGAGCCACCGTGACAGCGCATCACCGCCACCTCTGTGCCTGCTACCACCACACTTACCGCTGCAGCCCCGCTACCTCCACAAGTCCGACTGACCCCCCGCTACTACCGCAAATCCCATTGCAGCCCAGCTACCACCACAGTTCCCACCGTTGCCTGGCGACCACCACAGTTGCCACCGCAGCTTCCCAACACCATGCAGTTCCCATTGTAGCCCCCGCTTCCACCACATCTCCCACTACAGCTTTCCACTGCCATGCAGCTCCAGTCTTGGACGGGATCATGGTTTATTCGTATGTCCTGCGCGACTAGCCTTCGCCCGTCAGAAAAAAAGGCAGAGCAAGCAATGGCAGAACTGACCGACAGAGCTTAGAGAGCAGGTCAAAACTCGAATCCGCCCACCAGCACGCAACATGCCATAGCGCACCAGGTCGCCGCATCGCCAACTCGTGCGCAGCGCTTCTTCGTGCGCGATGGGCAACTTTACAACCAACATGCCTCAAAGAGCCCAAAGCCACCCTTGCGCTTGCCCACGGAGATTTCAGGGAAAGGCACGCGTGCATTCAATCTGTGTTTTTACTTGCCTGGTTGTAAAGTGCCCTTCCTGGTTGCAAAGTGCCCTTCTTGGATTTTATAAGCTGGTTGTAAAGTGACCCATCTGGTTGTAAAGTGCGCTTCTGGTTGTAAAGTGACCCACACGCCAGGCACGGTGGTGGTGCATGAGACGAAGCCAGGACGAGGATGAAATCGAGTGGTCGTCGTCGTCGTCGTCGTCGTCGCCATTCAGGGTCGGCGGCACCGGCCGTAAGGCCTTCGCAATCGAGTGAGGATGAATCGAGAATCTCTGAGATCCCGCGGTTCTGGAGGATGTCTCGGGCGCCGCGGCCTTCTCAGAGCGCTCCGGAACGTTCTGAGCGCGTGTCGGAGCGCTCTGGAACGGATTTCTCCTCGTCCTAGCTCCGTCCGAGTGCAGAAAAGGCTGCGGATGCCTGCAGCTGGCCAGGCAGAAGTCGGGGCCGAAGTCGACCTCGCAGATGGACAGGCAGCACGCGTTGATCTGCCCGTCGTCTGCCTCTCAGAAGCCCGGCTGGCCGTCTCCGGGCCGGACCGGGAAAGCAGAAGAGGCCCCGACGCGGACCGAGGCGGACTGCGCAATTCACCGAACGGGACAAGAACGACGACGACGACGACGACGAAGACGACGACGCCCTCCGCGCCCCTGCCAGGGCCGCGAAAGGCCTCCGAGGGCCTCCAGAGGCCTCCGAGGGCCTGCGGAGGCCTCCGAGGGCCCCCGAAGGCCTCCGAGGGCCTGCGGCCGGACAGGGAGGCGGTTCGGAGCCGGACCGGGCCGGGCGGGAGCGTTCCTGCCACTGGCGGCGGGCCAAGAGCGGGCAGAGGGGGCCAGGCGGGGAGGGGCTGCCGTCTGGGGCGGGCAGAGGGGGGCCCTCTCTTGGAAGGGGCCTCCGAAGAAGGAGTGCCTGGGGGGCAGAGCTGGGGCGCACGAGGACAGACTGCAGGCTGGGGAATGTTTCTCCTTGCGCCACACCAAGGCGCCAAGAGCAACCGAAAAACAATCGAAACCCTCCGCGAAAGACAAACGAAACCTTCCGCAAAGGACATACTAGTACTATGCGCCCTCCCGAGGCGCGCGTCCGACCAGAGCATATAGTATAACCATCTTGTAGTATACCGCTTCCCGAGCGGTATGGCCAGAAAGCGCCCGCCAGGGAGCTTATACTGTGGGTTTTTTCGGCACGCGCGTCGCCCTCGGGGTGCGACGCACATATAGTACTAGCATGCTGGGGTGGCACCGAAGGGAGAATCCTGAGGGGGGAGGGCAGCCTCCTCGGAAAACCGCCGCCCTCAGGCTGCCCCCCGTCAGGTGTCCGGTCCACATCAGCCCCCAGACCCCTTCCTGGACACCCGCCCCGACAGCTGTCCAAGCTGCGTCCAACCATTGCCTCGAGGCTCCCCCGGATGCCCCCCATTACAGGGAAAAGATCATCAGAATCCCCTCTCCTCCCTCCTCCACTTCCTCCTCCCTCGTCCTCGTCCTCGTCCTCGTCCTCCTTCTCCTCCTCCTCCGCCTCCTCCTCCTCGTCGTCGTCGGCATCATAATCGTTCTCATGCTCCTCGTGTTGCGCCGCTCAGCCCTGGAGACCAGAAAGCCACGGTTTCGATGCACGTACAAAGAAAAGACAGTATGGGCGAGCTCGAGCCGAAGCGGAACGATCACACGTCTGCTCGTTGCATAAGGGATCGAGTGGGACAAAGAATGGCTCAAGCGCAGGCTCGACGAGCTCGAGCACTTCACCTTTGCCGAGCCTCGATGACTGCACGAACTGACAGCAGGATAGCCTGAGCGATGAAATTGCATAGATCGGGAGGGAACGACTTGCTGGAAGACATCTTTGCCGTCTCGTCCATCATTGTCCAAAGCAAAGTGGCCCCCATGGTGATTGTCCAAAGCAAGGTGACCCCCACGGTGATTGCAGAAACCTCGGGAGAGGTGGGCCGACAAACGGGCCCCGATATAGGGAATATGAAGTGTGAGGAATGTTGTGGGCGTGACCGACCTTGATCCGAAACATCGCTGGTCAAAGTTGTGAACCTTACTCAGCGGGTTGGCACCGCTCCCTGAATGACTCGAAAAGTTTGAATATTGGGCAAGCGCCAGCTGCTGGGGAGGTGGTCCACCCTGGGTTGACTCGGATGCTCGTGCAGAAAACCCGTCCTTGCATCAGCACACGCTGTTTCAAACAGGATCGTGAGTTGCTTCCATCACTCCTCCTCCTCCTCCTCCTCCTCCTCTTCCTCCTCCTCCTCCACCTCCTTCTCCTCCTCCTCCTTCTCTTCAGCCTCATACTCTTCCTCCCCCTCCTTCCCTTCATCATTCCCCGTCTTCCCCCTCCTCATCCCCCGCCTCCTCCCCCTCCTCCTCCTCCTCCTCTTCTTCCTCCTCCTCCATCTCCTCCTCCTCCTCCGCCTCATCCTCCTCATCCTCCTCCTCCTCCTCATCATCATCATCATCATCAGCTGCAGCAGCAACAGCACCATCACCACCTTCATCATGCTCTTCCTCCTCATCCTTCTCCTCCTCCTCCGCCACGTCGCCCTCCCACCCTCCCTCCCCCTCCCCCTATCACGCCCCCCCCCTTTCCCTTCCCTCCTCCCTCCCTCCTCGCCCTGCGCGCTGCAAGCGGTGCCTGGCACACAGCCGCGCCCGCCGCGGCCCCCAGCAGGACCCGTCGACGCAT